TTTATCATTTCATAAGAAAAAATTATAGTAAATATATTTATTCAGGAAAACTTGGCTTATTAGGCAAATCGGGCCTTGAATAGTAGGCTGAGAAGTGAGTTCTGGCTACTAGGTACGACATATATATATATATATATATATATATATATATATATATATATATATATATATATATATATATATATATATATATATATATATATATATATATATATATATAATATATATATATATATTATAATAAGAATTTTGTCAATATCATTTCGTGTTAAAATGTATAAGTTTCGTTATGTTTGAGAGGTTTATTGGCCCTGAAATTATGAAATTACTTCCGGTATTCATATTTTTATTCGACGATTATGTTTTAGCATTACGACACGAGGGAGACGGGGGGGGGGGAGTGTCTTAGTGTGAGGGGAAGTGGGGAGGGTGATCCAGTGTGATGGGAAGGTGAGGGGAAGTGGGAGGGTGATCCCGTGTGATGGGAAGGTGAGGGGAAGTGGGAGGGTGAACCAGTGTGATGGGAAGGTGAGGGGAAGTGGGAGGGTGATCCAGTGTGATGGGAAGGTGAGGGGAAGTGGGAGGGTGAACCAGTGTGATGGGAAGGTGAGGGGAAGTGGGAGGGTGAACCAGTGTGATGGGAAGGTGAGGGAAGTGGGAGGGTGAACCAGTGTGATAGGAAGGTGTGGGGAAGTGGGAGGGTGATCCATGTGATGGGAAGGTGAGGGAAGTGTGAGGGTGAACCAGTGTGATGGAAGACATTGTAAAGAAGACAGAAATACAAGAAGTGGATTAAAGTTGTATCGAAGAAATGGAGAAGTAGAATATGGGGTAGGCTTCCCTTCTTCCTTCATGTAGGGAAGGAAGTAGGCTTCCCTCCCTCCCTCCCTCCCTCATGTAGGGAAGGAAGTAGGCTTCCCTCCCTCCCTCCCTCCCTCCCTCCCTCCGTCCCTCACGTAGGGAAGGAAGTAGGCTTCCCTCCCTCCCTCCCTCCCTCCCTCCCTCATGTAGGGAAGGAAGTAGGCTTCCCTCCCTCCCTCATGTAGGGAAGGAAGTAGGCTTCCCTCCCTCCCTCATGTAGGGAAGGAAGTAGGCTTCCCTCCCTCCCTCACGTAGGGAAGGAAGCAGGCTTCCCTCCCTCCCTCCCTCCCTCACGTAGGGAAGGAAGCAGGCTTCCCTCCCTCCCTCCCTCCCTCACGTAGGGAAGGAACTAGGCTTCCCTCCCTCCCTCACGTAGGGAGGAACTAGGCTTCCCTCCCTCCCTCCCTCCCTCCCTCACGTAGGGAAGGAAGTAGGCTTCCCTCCCTCCCTCCCTCCCTCCCTCACGTAGGGAAGGAAGCAGGCTTCCCTCCCTCCCTCCCTCCCTCCCTCACGTAGGAAGAAGTAGGCTTCCCTCCCTCCCTCCCTCCCTCCCTCCCTCACGTAGGGAAGGAAGTAGGCTTCCCTCCCTCCCTCCCTCCCTCCCTCACGTAGGGAAGGAAGTAGGCTTCCCTCCCTCCCTCCCTCCCTCACGTAGGGAAGGAAGTAGGCTTCCCTCCCTCCCTCCCTCCCTCCCTCACGTAGGGAAGGAACTAGGCTTCCCTCCCTCCCTCCCTCCCTCCCTCCCTCCCTCCCTCCCTCATGTAGGGAAGGACTAGGCTTCCCTCCCTCCCTCCCTCCCTCCCTCACGTAGGGAAGGAACTAGGCTTCCCTCCCTCCCTCCCTCCCTCCCTCCCTCCCTCCCTCCCTCCCTCACGTAGGGAAGGAAGTAGGCTTCCCTCCCTCCCTCCCTCACGTAGGAAGGAACTAGCTTCCCTCCCTCCCTCCCTCCCTCCCTCCCTCCCTCCCTCCCTCCCTCCCTCCCTCATGTAGGGAAGGAACTAGGCTTCCCTCCCTCCCTCCCTCCCTCCCTCACGTAGGGAAGGAACTAGGCTTCCCTCCCTCCCTCCCTCCCTCCCTCCCTCCCTCCCTCCCTCCCTCCCTCATGTAGGGAAGGAACTAGGCTTCCCTCCCTCCCTCCCTCCCTCCCTCACGTAGGGAAGGAACTAGGCTTCCTCCCTCCCTCCCTCCCTCCCTCCCTCCCTCCCTCATGTAGGGAAGGAACTAGGCTTCCCTCCCTCCCTCCCTCCCTCCCTCCCTCCCTCCCTCCCTCACGTAGGGAAGGAACTAGGCTTCCCCTCCCTCCCTCCCTCCCTCCCTCCCTCCCTCCCTCCCTCCCTCCCTCACGTAGGAAGGAACTAGGCTTCCCTCCCTCCCTCCCTCCCTCCCTCACGTAGGGAAGGAACTAGGCTTCCCTCCCTCCCTCCCTCCGTCCTCACGTAGGGAAGGAAGCAGGCTTCCCTCCGTCCCCTCCCTCCGTCCCTCACGTAGGGAAGGAAGCAGGCTTCCCTCCCTCCCTCCCTCCCTCCCTCACGTAGGGAAGGAAGCAGGCTCCCTCCCTCCCTCCCTCCCTCCCTCACGTAGGGAAGGAAGCAGCTTCCCTCCCTCCCTCCCCCCCTCCGTCCCTCACGTAGGGAAGGAACTAGGCTTCCCTCCCTCCCTCCCTCCCTCCCCCTCCCTCACGTAGGGAAGGAAGTAGGCTTCCCTCCCTCCCTCCGTCCCTCACGTAGGGAAGGAACTAGCTTCCCTCCGTCCCTCCCTCCCCCCTCCCTCACGTAGGGAAGGAAGCAGGCTTCCCTCCCTCCGTCATCTATTCCTTTAGACTAAGCCTGGGGATCACTAGGTACTGTGCTAGAGTTCCTAGTGAGGCTCTTATACTACACAGCTCACCTGGAGACACTCATTATTGGTGAGCCTTGACCTGAGTGCTTCTCTTCATGTGTGTACCTGGATTTGACCACACGTGTTGAGCACACGTGTTGAGCACACGTGTTGAGCACACGTGTTGACCACACGTGTTGAGCACACGTGTTGACCACACGTGTTGAGCACACGTGTTGACCACACGTGTTGAGCACACGTGTTGACCACACGTGTTCCAAGAAGCCCTGGAAGCAATGGTTGCTGATTCAGTAAACTTCTTGCAGAAAAGCACAGTCGGCATAAGGCTGTTGATTGCTGAGCGCCTTGTGTTGTCATCGCCAACTTCTGCTTGTCCACGAGGGTGTGAAAGCTGAGGGCAGCCGGGAGAACATTTGGCCTGTGTGGCAGTAAATTGGCCGACATCTGTGAGGTGTTGGAGGCTCCGATGTGCTGACCAGCGCATTCACCACAAGGCCAAGACTAGACACAAGTTCTCCATCTTGCTCAAAATTCTAATATATGTGGTGGAAGGGGGAGGGCAAGCTATCTAGGAGAGGGCAAGTTATCTAGGAGAGGGCAAGCTATCTAGGAGAGGGCAAGTTATCTAGGAGAGGGCAAGCTATCTAGGAGAGGGCAGTTATCTAGGAGAGGGCAAGTTATCTAGGAGAGGGCAAGCTATCTAGGAGAGGGCAAGTTATCTAGGAGAGGGCAAGCTATCTAGGAGAGGGCAAGTTATCCAAGGGAGAGCAAGCTATCCAGGAGAGGCAAGTTATCTAGGAGAGGGCAAGCTATCTAGGAGAGGGCAAGTTATCTAGGAGAGGGCAAGCTATCTAGGAGAGGGCAAGTTATCTAGGAGAGGGCAAGCTATCCAGGAGAGGGCAAGTTATCTAGGAGAGGGCAAGCTATCCAGGAGAGGGCAAGCTATCCAAGAGAGAGCAAGCTATCCAAGGGAGAGCAAGCTATCCAGGAGAGGGCAAGTTATCTAGGAGAGGGCAAGCTATCTAGGAGAGGGCAAGTTATCTAGGAGAGGCAAGCTATCTAGGAGAGGGCAAGTTATCTAGGAGAGGGCAAGCTATCTAGGAGAGGGCAAGTTATCTAGGAGAGGCAAGCTATCTAGGAGAGGGCAAGTTATCTAGGATAGGGCAAGCTATCTAGGAGAGGGCAAGCTATCTAGGAGAGGGCAAGCTATCTAGGA